TTTTATTTTTATAGCTTCTTTAATTTTATAATCTTTAGATTCAGTTTATCAGTTTCAACACAAATGTTGAGTGTCTGTTGAATTTATAGATACATTTGCATATATTGGGTATCTTTTAGTTCATGGTACAGCTTTATATTTGGGAGTGTTATTTCATTACTTTCTTCAATATTTAAAGTATTTAATATTGGTGCTCTGAGTTTTCAAAGTAAAATCTACAAATTTAAATTGTGCTGTGAAAGATGTGCAGAGAATAGTCCCCAAATATGTTTGTAGACTAAGCCAATGACCAGCCAAATGATTTAATTTTTTATCTATAGTGCATATCTCAAGGATCCCTGATGGCATAGTAGCTTAAGTGTTGGGTTGCTAACTGCAAGGCCAGCAGTTCAAACCCTCCACTTCCTCCATCGGAGAAAGATGAAGCTTTCTGCTCTCATAAACATTTACAGCCTCAGAAACCTACAGGGGCAGTTATGCTCTGTCCTGTAAGGTCACACAACAGACTTACACTTGATGGCAGTGAGTTGAAATGTTGAGTCTCATGCCAAAAAATTGGTCCTCAAATTTCTTTTTCTCCAAGTTCCAGATATCTATCCTTATTTATTCTTCAGACCTATTCAAACATTATTTAACAGGAAAACGTATACTGCTACCTTAGAATAACATAAAGTCCCCTTGATAATATATTTCAACATCAAGAATTTTTCATTTGCAGTTTATAATTATTGTAATTAAATGACAGCTTAATATTTTCTTGCTCTATTACACTCAGTCTACTGAGATACCACAGACTTATCTTAATATATTGATCATTATGGAGTAATAACGAGTGCCTTGCTGACCAAGGAAGAAAGATGAGACCTCCTACCCTGTAAACAGCTCCAGTCTCACAAACCCACAAGGGCAAGTCTACCCTCTCCTAAAGGGTCACTATGAGTCAAATCGTATCCACGGCAGTGAGCTTAGATGAACTGATGCAAATAATAAAGTGCTCAGTCATTATCTGAAAGGTTGATGGTTAAAACACATCCAGAGAGTCCTCAGAGGACCTGCCTAGGGACCTGCTTCTGAAGGGCCACAGCCATGGACACTCTATGGAGAATTTATATAACATGAATTGGAAACTGGGGAAATTAGATAAGATACCAAATAATACAATTGCCTTTAAAAGTTACATTTAATAAGATGGTTCCATAGTATAGAGTCCAATTCATGCTAAGTACTCATGGAAAAAAATGGTACTGATACAGTGGTCACGTGTTTTGAGTCATAACTAAAACAAAAATGAACACAAGAACAAACAAAAAATACGGGGAACTGGAGCTGTGGGGAACAACACCGTTAGCTCAATAATAGCTAGTAACGCAACCATTAAGGAAAGAACTGTTAAAATCTAATGCATAGAAGTGATTCATGAGCTAGCTTCTGGGAAAATGATTTCATCAATTCCTAGAAGTCATCCTTGCAAACCAGGTGGGGAACAGATGATCGGCAACTTCTGGAGTCAGAGTGATGTGTGCAGCAGAAGCTCGGCCCTCATTCCATTGGCTTAGAATTCACAGTGTTTTGTAACTGTCAGAGCAAACAGCAGAAGGAAGCTGGAAAACTGGAAGCGACTTGACATAAATCAGGTAAATGTCCAGACAGGGTAGGAACTGGGGGACCAGAACACTCTAACATGCGAAATTGTTGGAAATTGGAAAGACTGAAATTTGTGTTTTGGGAAATTCAAAGTGTTTCTAGAGACGATATAGAAGAAAATGGTATTTTTCTGAGTCCTAATCACAGAACATCAATTCTGGAGGTGTGAGTTTCTTAATAAAAATAATAGCTTTTTCTTACATTGACTAAGGAGCCCTGGTGGCTTAGTGGTTACACATTGGGCTGTCATCCTAAAGGTCAGCAGTTCAAAAGCACCAGCAGCTTCAAGGGAGAAAGATAGGTTTTTCTACTGCCTTAAAGAGTCATCATTTCCCATACTTCCAGAGGCAGTTCTATCCCATCCTGTAGGGTCACTATGAGACAATATTGACTTGAAAACAGTGAATTACCAAACTGACATGGGATAGTTTCTATAATGATCGGTCCAATTGTGTTGTGAAAAATTTGCTGTTTTCAACCTTAAATTTTGCTAGTTATTTTATGCTATCATTAGCAATCCATTGTATTTAATTCCAAATGATCCACTCTAAGTTTTGTTGTCTTTTAATTTGCTCATCTGCTAATTGTGATAAAGAGAATAAAAACATCTCTAAGATACAGGTCAGTCTCCCAAGTCTGAAAATCAGTCCATTTTAATAGGGCACAGAGGAAGTAAGGTTGTAGATGAAACTTTGGTTCCTGATCATGTGATCTTATCATAGGAAGATTATCTTGAATGACTAAGCAGATCCAGTGTAATCACATATACATTGAAATCAAATCATATTAACCACCTGTGTCAGATTAGAACAACGTCCTTCTCCAGGGTTTTCAATGGCTGGATTTATAAAAAGACCTTGAAGTCTTTCCTCAGAGACACTTCTAGTGTCCTCAAGCTTCCAATCTTCCAGTTAGCACCAATTGCATTCTCCATCAGAACCACCGACAGACTACATTGCGATTGAAGCACCCTTAGAAGAGTCTCAGAAAAGACACACAGGCATGCCAACACCTTAGTTTTTTAGACAATGAGGCTATGCCAGACTTCCAACGTAGGATATTGTAAGATTTTTATTGTTTAGAGCACTAAATCTGATTTACCTATTAAGTCAATAGGACTTTATGTCAGTGTGTAAGAGCCAGAAAAACATCCCTTCACTTGAAATCTAAAGCAAATATATTTTTTCAGCTTGTTCAAGAAGCTACAGTTGTTGCCCACAACAACACAGCTTTTACCAATTGTGGTAGTTACATAATCTGATGTCAATTTGAGGATTCAGAGTGAAGGGATGGAGTTTAGCCTGTCAATCCGGTAGTAGCCTGATAGCTTCATTTGGAGGAGCTAAGGTGGTAAATAGCTCACTGGAGATGGGACTCATGCTCACTTCCTGGGAGACATCTCTGTGGAGAAGACACATGGAGAGAGACTAAACGAGCTAGACCTCTGGAGCCAGAGAAGCCAAGTGGAAAGCCCTGCCAGCACTGAGATGTTAACAATGCCACTGGATCCACAAGACTCCCTACCCACTGGCCTGTGATCTTCCTGCATTCAGCTCATTGCATGTGTTTCGTGAGTCTGAAGAGGACTTTATAGATTGGTATCAGACATGTGGGCTACGATCAGACTTTGGACTTGATCTGGACTGGGTTGGGATATTTTCTCAATATTCAATTGCTCTTGTATATAAAGCTCTTTCCTACACACATCTGAGTATCTCTGGATTTGTTTCTCTAGTCCACCTGGACCGACACACCAATGTTGTATAATTTCCCTTGAGTGGATATTATGAAATTGGGAAAACTGGGATCCTTAAAGTTCCAAACTTTTAAAATGAAGACTGAATTTATAGAAGATGACATAATTTAACATTTTAAGCTTTGTGATGCAATGATAGATTATCCCCAAAATTTCCTTTCATTATTCATTCATCTTTAAAAAAATTACATAAGAACTGTGACTATGCTAGAGGGAGAAGAATAAAAAGTAGAGGCAGCAAAAGAGAGATAAAAGAGAATGTGGCAATTTATTGAAACGAAGCAGTTTTACTCATAATTACTTTCTGGGCCATCTTTGGAAAGTTGCTAGCTAATTCTTCTACATCCCAATTGCTACTTCTCTAGAATAAGTAGGTTGAATTCTATGATTTCTGAAGTTCTTTTTTATATTTAATAATGTGTTACTTTGGAAATAAAGGAGAAGTAAACAGAACACGATTTATATGCTTGAGACTAAATCTGTTGCCAACTATGTAATACTCTCTATTCCATTTCCTATTTTCTGTTGTGTTTGAAGATGTTGCAAAATAGAGAACAGAAAAACATTTCAACATTGCTTGTTCTGTGTAAGTATGATGCCTCTGGTTATTAGTGTGCACTCTAGTTTAGTACCGTGCCTTATCTACACTGGGACGGGAACATTCAAAATGGTATAAACAAAGGATACACATTTTCAAATCAAGACACAATGAAACAATTACATTCGATGATTTTTGAGAGTTGTTATTTTCAGTTAGATTCAGTTCACTTGCTGGCAAAGCTCTCAGATGCAACCCTGTACCTGCTGAAGCTGGTTCCATCCCATCTAAGTTTGTTTTCTTTCTTTTCATGAAAATGGGGATAATTTGAGCAAATTGAAAACAGAATTGAGGCACAGGGATTTAGTAAATTAAAATGAGATGCAAAACTCTTGATATCTCAAAGACCCAAAGCACTTCTAAGTGCTTTTTAAAAATATACAACCACACACTGATCTTTCTTTTCATATACTGCTTCATAATTTAAATCTACATTTTACTCCTGTACTCTTCAAACTTCTTTGCTATGTTCCATCTTTGAAAATGTTTAACCTATAGTTATTGCAAGCTATTCCATCTTTTTGAAATGTTGATCAACAAGAAAAGATTGGTCTGGAAACTATGAGCATGGAGAAATCCCCTGCTTATAGAAATGAGAATAATTAAACTCTACCTAAATTAGTGCACATCCTGCAAAATCAGAGCATTCAAACTAATTACTAGAAGCGATGGAAAAGAATCCCAGTCAATACAAACTAATAAATAACAACTTTAACAGCATATTGGTGGAGTCAAATGAAGAATTTATTAGAATAACATTATTTTCTTTCTGACCTATTTTGAGGAAGGGTGCAAATACATAATTTTATCAATAATACAATTTGGGTTGCTCCTTCATTTTACAGAATCTGTCAGCCAATGTTTGAGAGATAGGGAGGAAAACAAAGCTGGTGACCAAGGAACACGAGCCTAACTTTCAATGGAGAAAATCTAAACAATATCTGATCTTATTATGGATTCTTCATGCATCGTTGAAATGTATTTAACAAGTCAACAGATTAATCAATAAAAGCCAGATTTATAGATTGGTTTGTAACAAGATGACTGGAAACTCCTGAAAGGAAAATAGGTTGGGTGGCATAATCTAAATCCATAGCCAGTATAAGGGAAGCTACAAGCTCCATAGCCCAAGGGTCTGAAGCCATTGAATCCACAGCCCAGTGAATCACAGCTTCTGAGTCCATAGCCCAGTGAGGAGCAGCTTCTGGATCCAAAGCCTAGAGATCTATTGCAGGTGGTCCCAGACCAACTGCCGAGCACGGAGGTCTGAGGGCGATAGCAGGAAGTCTCCCAGGGACCGGATACTGTACAAGACTTCTGGCAGCTCTTGGGCTCATAGCAGGTTTCTTGACAGCCTCCGTAGAGAGAAGAGTTCAGCTGGTAGGTGCTGGGAGAGCAGAAATCAGTGCTGTATACCAAGTTGCTGGGGGTAGAAGAGCGGCAGGAGAGGGCAGGGTAGTTTCCGTAACCATCCAGGGAGCGGGATGAGACGTTTCCAAGGCAGCCGTGGTAGGACATGCTGATAGGAGATGGGAGTTCAACACTGTTACAGTGAGAAGATTCTGAGTTTTAATGCCACCTTCTAGACTAGGGCATTTATATACTCTCAGCAACAGGTGTGGTACCCTACTGAATACTTTTTTTCATATGTGTGCTTCCTTATTTACATATGTGTAATTCCATAACCTCTGTAATTGTGAGTTGTTGCCCACCTATTATATTCATGGATGCTTTATTTTATTGCTATAGCACAAAGCCAATGAATTGAATTTATGTCAGAAATGCTTTGACTGTTTCACATTAATGCTCATCCCATCATGACCAGGAGGAAACTTCTTTTTCCTTCGTTTATACTCCATGGGTTTGTTGCTGGCTATATTAAGTGAATACTTATATTTGAAAAGTGGGGAATAAGACTGTTTCTCGTGTATTAACGAATTAGATACACAGCATAAGCAGAAACCTACTAAATATTAACCTTAATGGTATTAATTATTTCTCTTTCTTCAACTTAACATCAATCTATCATATTTTATTCTCCAGTGGGTTTCATGAACCCTGAAAAATACTAGTCAAGACAAACTAAATGTCATTGAAGGTTAAAACCAGAATCTTGGACAATATTTCAATATACAGTGACAGAAAGAGACAGTAGAGACAGTGACAAGTGGAAACCAGTTTGGACCCTTAAAACGAGAGTCCAAATTCTGACAGCGTTGAGGGGAGAGAAAGAACCATTATGTCATAGATGTAATGCAGCTGCCCTGACTCCTCTTCTGACTCCTGTGATCTTGTCAGATTCTCATTGATATATGTGGCAGCCTTGAAAACATAATTCTCAGATCTTTGACTGTTGTTCTTGTCAACTGCTGGCAAGTCAGTTCCTGATTCAAGACAGCCACACACTCAACAGGAGAAACCACTGCTCAGATAGGATTCTGAAGACCCTGATAGGTTGACCGACAATAAGAACCCTTTCCTCACTGATTTTCAGAAGTAAATTTCCAGAATTTTCTTTGTAATCTGTCGTCTGGGCCACACAGGTGGTATCCCCATTTGGGATGCATGTGTCGGTAAGATTGCATAAAAGTATACATGGATGCTACCACTGAACCGCCACAGATATCTGAGCTCCAATTACACGAGGCATCATTCCCCAACGATTAGACATGATGTAGTTCAAGTTTTATAGTTGCATTTGTGCTGAAGTCGTATACTCCCTGGGATGTCCGAGCAATGGCTGAACATAGCAAAAAATACTAGAGGAGCCTGTTCTTGGAAGCCATAAGATTTATCTGCAACATTCCTCCTTGGCCTTGAGGAATTATTGGTAGTCTGCCTGGCAATCTCAGACAATTCCTTCTCTGTTTCCTTACTCAAGGTCCTTGTATCTTCATTCAGTCATAATAATCACTTCTTGATGAATCTCAACTAATATATTAAGTTATAGAACACAAATTTCACTCCATCTGTCTCCTCTAATTTGTTATTAAGAACCTTAGTAGTTGACTTTATAGAGCTTTTACATTTATTTGCTTTTGTTTCAATAATCTCTGCTCTTGACTCTATTTAAACATTTTCTTAATTTGGAATTAATGTAATTTCTTTCCTGTACTCCTGGATTTTATTAATAAGACACTGATATCTACCCAGTTTTTTCCCCCTTTTAAAATGTGTGTATTTAGTTCTATACCCTTTTCACTATGCATGGTTTTATATTGACATATTTTATATTTTCTTTGGCTGTATCCTTTGTCAGTGGAAACATATTGCTTAATTCCATGTATCAGCATTTGCTAGTTAATATTGTTGCTATTATTTCCAACTTAAACCATGATCACAATCTTTTGGAAGTTTTTCCTGCTATAACCTGTTTTGGCAAATGTTCTGTAGACACTTGAAAATAATGCATGTTATGAAACTGTTCAGAAAAGAGCTCTATACATTTCAATTAGGTCTGTCTTCTTAATCATGTTCACATTTTCTGTGTCCTTTACTGTTTATTTATCTTCTGTTCCTCTCAGTTATGCATCATTTTATTTTTGACAACATGCAAGTTAAAATCTCTCATTTCCATTGTGAATTTGTATGTTTTACCTTTCCATTATGTCCAATGGCCATGGTCACCTCTTTCCTGTATATCATGTTTGGAATTTATAACACTTCTTGGTTCTGTGAGTTGAAGACTACCTTTTGCAAGCAAAATACTCACATGTGAAGGAAACCGCTGCTATCTGACCACATCTTTAAGACCCAAAAGCAAATTAACGTTTGTAAGACACAAAGTGAAGTGCGGAGAAGGGGACATGAAGACAATTAGAAGATGGAGTTTTGTGTACATTGTTTTGAGATGACAATACTTGACTACCAGATTAAAAAAGTATTCACAATGGGAGTTCTATAGCTGAGGAGTCTATTTAAACTTAACGAAGATTATTTTAATTATTTGCTGTTGATCCCAGAGGCGTTTGTCTCTGACTCAAAACAAACATGGGTAACAAAAGGCAATTTCTGGTCCTATACCATCCCCATGATTGATGGTCTGTTCAAGTGTATTGTTGTAGCTGCCACGTCAATCCATCTTGTTGACGGTTTCCTTCAGTTTTGTTTCCTGCATGTTGTTGCTTCTGTTTGTTTGTTTCCTGATGATGTGTCCAATGTAAACAAGTCAAAATTTTAACATCCTTACTTCAAAGGAATATTCTGATTTTAACTATTTTTTAAAAAGAAACATTTAAAAACACTTCAGAGTTTAGCTTTGGAGTGTATGTGATGTACTATAACTGATTAATGAATGTAAAAAACATCCATCAATCACTTGTACCTTGGTTAAGTCAGACCTACATTATTTTTCTCATTAACATTTAATATCTGAGTTGATACATTTCACCTTTTATCCTTTTTGGTTAATTGTCCATAGTCTCTTCAAATATTGTTCCTCACCTTCTCTTTCTTAGGTTCCAATTATAAATGAGCCTCTCCTTTTACATATGTTAAATACACTTTTCTGTATTTTTTATCACTTTGTTTCTTTTTGTTTCGTTGGGACACTTTTTTGTCTCAAATTCTAATTCAGTCATTGTCTTCTCAGTTCTGAGTAATCTACTGCTAAACAATCCTTTGAGGGTCTAGAAAGAGATATTAAGGTTCATTTTTATGTTTATGTAATTTTTTTTCTAATCAGTTTTTGTTCTCTGTCTTACCTTTAGTTTTTTTAATATCCTTAGAAAACAGTGTTTTCTTCTGCCTTGTTAACTTCTTCACGTGGGCAGTCCCGTGTCTGCGTTGGCAGACTCATTAGCTTTACCCTGTGCTTTAGATTCTAGTTGCCAGTTCTCACTTCGGTTTCAGGCTCATCTTTCTAGATTCCACCCGTGTTTTGAGAAAGTGATAGATATTTCATATTAAAAGGCTCTGAGTGGATTTACTTTCTTCCAGAAAGGATTTACGTAGGTGTTCTGGTCGGCTGCTATGCAAAGAACAGTGACAACCTAGATTACTTACCCCAATCACAAATTGAGAAGACCCCAAAATCGACTCCAATCCTTATGACATATTGGCTATATTTAGGCATTGGTCTTTGAAGTCCAGAATATTTTCCACCTCCGTGGTGGGATTCCATATTTCAATGAATTCCCCAGTCCTGTGAGATTTTGGAAATGCCCAGCCTCTCAGACAGCATTTTCAGAATTGGCACCTAACTTTAAGGGTAGAGCAACCTGATGTGGCAGTATCATGTCCCTTGATTTATGTGCTCGCCCATATGTTACTTGTATGACAGTGCCACGGAAGGCTCCTTCTTCCTTCCATACCACATCGCATGCTAGCAGCTCAGCAGAAAAAAGACTGCGCGTTCTATTCCTGTTATAGTTCTAGTGTTGGAACCCCACCAGGGGTCGCTGAGAGTCAGTGTTGGCCCCATGGCAGTGTTTGGAGAGTGAGCAGTATTTCTTGGCTTCACCCCCAAATAAACTACTATGTTTGATTCCATGTTCTTAGTACTGTTTTCTGCAAAATTTATAGAAACATACATGTGTGACTCATAAACTGATCTATTGGGGAACCTTTGATATTTATCCATCTTCTAGAATTTTAAATTTTGTCATCAAAATTATTTTAGTGACTTGTGTCTGGAAGAATGGAAAATAGTTAAGGACTAGTGTCCACAGTGTTGCATTGAAAAGACATGTACCCTACTTGTGGGAGGAACAGATAAAGAAGGAATGATTTCTGGTTTTGTAGAACCAAAAATAAAGAACTCACAAAATACTCATTTGAATTAATGGCATTGACTTCTTCTCCTCACTCCTTCCTTTCTAGATGGTTTACCTTATCTAATTTTTTGTTTACAAATTTAAAGATAATGTTTTTGAGTAAATTGAAGATTTTTAGCATTACTTTGTAAGTACAATACAGTTTTATTAGGAAATAAAATGAGAAAGCAATCCCACTAACACTCATATTATACTCCTTTTAGCCCCCCAACTAATTGGGGAACCCTGGTGACATAGGGGGTTATCAATTGCTTACTTGGTTATATTTAAATATTTTATATTTGTGAATAAACTTAAAAAAGAAGCTGTTTAAATGATACAACTATCATTTACTTTCAGCATTTGTCTGTATACTTTAACAGAAGCAATAAATAAATAAATACATAAATAAACAAACAATCTAACTTACTACCATAGAGTCAATCCTGATTCATTGGTACCCTACAGGGCAGGGTAGAACTACCCAAGTGAGTTTCTAAGACTATAACTTATCAGCAGTTGGTGGTTTTGAACTGATGCCCTTGTGGTTAGTAGCCAACCACATAACCACTATGCCATCAGAGCTCCCTAAATAAATCATAGCAGCATAAAAAGAAAGACAAAACCAAAAAAGAAAAAAAATGGAGACAAAAAATGAAAAATGGATGGAGACATCAAAAATCGTCATTTTGGAAGCAGAGTTGTGACTCCAGGACCTTCCCCGAGGACACCTAAGTAGTAACTTTCCCGCTACCCTACAGAGTAAAAGAGGATTAGGAAAGAAAGACATTTCACCCTGAGAAGGAACATGGAAGACGGTCCCTAGGTCTGGAAATATCAGAAAGACATTTAAGGCCTCCAAAGAGAAAAGCTTGAGAACTTCTAAGAGAGTAGGAACCAGAAATATGCTCATATTTCTAAATATAGACATAAAAATATACAAAATGCATACATATACATTTTAAAGTTTTGATTATAAAATCATTAGATGAAATGACGTGCAGATCAGGAGTGTGATTGAACAAGAGTTTGGCTATCTTGGCCTTCTGTGAATTCCTCGTCCGCTTGGTCCCTGCTCTCACTCACCACACGGTGAGGAGCCTAGACTGACGTCCTCTGGCATTATTTCCCTTGGCACATTCTTGTCACCTTGTCTTTAAATATATTTGAAGGCATCTTTCTGTTTCTAACCGACTTCCTCTTAGTCTATTAAAAATATTAACAGGTTTTGGGGCATATAATTCACATGTAATACAATTCAATAGTTCAATCATATTAAGAAGAGTTGTTCAATCATTACCACAATCAATTTCAGAACAATGTATTCTTTCTTGTACTTACTACTAGCTCCACCTTTTCCCAACCCCTGTTTTTTATACCTAATTTATCCTATCTATCCATCTATTTATAACATTTTCCAATTCAACATTTTCTACAAGTAGAATTTAGTGATACTAGCTGCATAAACTATGTATTTCTATCATTGTAAACAAATACGGAATTCTTCCTAAGCAATAATTCCTGCATTTACCCCCATGCCTAGTAACTGCTAATAAGATTTGGTCCCCGTACATTTGGCCATTCTAGAGATTTTAATAAGTAAAATCACTCAATGTTGGTCTGTTTTTGAATAATTGTTCATTCATAAAGAGACACAAAGTCCTTAAATATGTTGCAACATGAACTAATCTTGGAAACACAGTGTTAAGCATGGTAAATATCTTACTCTCTTTGTTTCATCAATCTTTTATTATTTTAATTTATTTTCCTTGAATTTGAGGTGAACCATGTAGCAACAGTGTCTGTTGTATTTATTTTTTATTTTTGCTACAACAAGTTACCACAGGCACACACGTGACTTTGCTGTAAGTCAGCACACACTTGGGATTTGTGTTTCTCTTTTTAAGAATCAGAGTGAATGGTGAATGTTCTAAAACTGATTGTGATGATGTCAACCCTTCTTGATGTGAATGAACTATTGAATTGTATGATATGTGAATTAAAAGCAAATAAAACTGCTAAGGATGGGAGAATGAATGGTCAAAAACAAAACAAAAATATAGGTCATCCTCACTGGTGGAAGCTCTACGTGAGCTGCTGAAGCAGAAGAATACTGATGTTATATGACTCTCCTCCCTAAGGAGGAAACATGGTCCAGCAGAGTCAGATGGAAACATACAGACTGCTTAGGAAGGAGAAAAAGGAGGAGTTCACCTGGTCCTGAAGGAACGGGGATTACTGTAACGCAGTCACAGCATTTCTAACATTAAAGTATTTCATTGGCGTGGTACCATAAAAAACAAAATTACAGCACCTATAAAAACCATATGTGGAAAACTATACAAATACCATTGCGATTACAGAGAAAATGAAATTACACATATGCAAATGAGGGATTCCAGGACACCACAATCTTGTAGTGTGCCACACCCTTGACTGGGGTATTTAAGTGTTACCCATCTGGAGGTGGTACCAGAACTCAGAATCTTCTCACTGTAACGCATCTGGACTTAACATCTTCAGTCAACATGCCTTACAACTACAGCTCTGGAAACTTCTCCTCCCGCTCCCAAGGGGCTTACCTGTGCAACCGACGCTCCCACAGTGGCTCTTCTTCCCCCAGCAATTTAGTCTACAGCATTGACTTTTGCTCTCCCAGAACACGCAGCCTGGGATCTTCTCTCTACAGAGATTATCAAGAGTCCTGCTACAAGCCTTTTAGCTGCCAGAGCTCCTCTGCGGTGTTCAGACCCTGCCAGATGTCCTGTTACCGTCCAAGGAGGTCACCATTGTGCAGTCCCCACCAGATGACTTCTACAGGGTTTCTGGACTTTGGATCCAGCAGCTGCCCTTCCCTGGACTATGGATCCAGATGCCATTACACTCTGCACCGTGGATCCAGTGATTTCAGACCCCTGTGGCATGGCTTCCCTATTCAAGGCTTTGGATCCCGATTCTGCCATCCAAATTACCTGACTTCTAGGAACTGCCACTCTTCTTGTTACAGACCAATCTATGGATTGGGCTTCTATCAACCAGCCTGTTAAGTGTGCCACATCCATTTGATTGGTGGTATCATCTCTGATCGAAGAAGATGTTTCTCCTCATGTTACTACTATCTCTGTATTCTTTAGTCACTTCTGGAAGATTTTGAAATTAGCAGCACAAAATTAAATCATATCATTTGCACTGTTGAAAATATATAGGTTATTGGGTTTTGTTTGAAAAGCAGTTGAAAATTAAAAAAAACTTAATAAACATAGAATATGGCATCTAAACATACTATTTGACTTGTTTTTAAAACTTTATTGAGCATGTTTTTGCATTCAAGTTTGGGGGAAGGTCAAATAAGTCCAATATGATTTTGCAATTGGTTTTGTGGCATTTACACTTCAATAGTTTTGAACAATTTTTTGTTGATATTGAATATCTTGCCTAATAAAGGTGTCATTTCCTGGACCACCATATTTTGCACTTGAATACTTGTCTCAACAGCATGGAAAAGCACTTGAGAATGAAGTACATATATTTCTGCTGATAAAGAAACATACAAAATTGGCACATATACTAGAAATACAGTCAATAAGAGTATGACAGTATAAGATGAGGTGTTTACATTGGTAATATTTTACCAAAGTCTGCTATGCGAATGTGGATTTTCAGCTAAGAGGACTTCAGTGCTTCCGGCAACTCCTGTGACAGATACTATGCTCATTGATAGTTGGCAAAGTGCCAAAATTCCCATCTCCCACAGTGATATATTCATGAGACTTATCTGTACACATGAGTAAGGAGAATGACAATACCCTAAATCAGCGGTTCTCAACCTGTGGGTTGTGACTTCTTTGGGTATCAAACAACCCTTTCACAGGGGTCACCTGATTCAAAACAGTAGCCAAATTACAATTATGAAGTAGCAACGAAAATAATTTTATGGTTGGGGGGGGGGGCACCACAACAGGAAGTGTATGAAAGGGCCGCAGCATTAGGAAGGTTGAGAACCACTGGTCGGAAGACAGGTTCATTAGGGATGAGGTACCCCTTTGATGCTTCTTTAACCATCAGAATCTAACCAAATGCAGCCCTCGCTTGATACTAGCAGTAACCTCAAGTTTACCTCAATGGAATGAAATAGTACTATTTTTAAATTTCACAAGTTAAATATTTCATGAAATGATAAAACACTAGGAAAATCACCATATACTAGCTTGCATTAATAATTCAACATTAAGCATGATTAATATCTATCTTTAAAATCCTTAACAACACTGAAAAATGTTTGACTCATTAGCTTTCCCCTGGGTTGATCCTCCTGAAAGAACTGCCAAAAACATGAATTTTAATGCAGTTATCTTATTTGGCACACGATCTCAGGAAGCAAGAATGGGAAAAAGTGGACATCAAAAAACCAAAAGGAAATTCCCATATAACACCAATTCATGTTTTTCATCTAATCCTACAATAAGCAACTGGAACTCAGTCCCATCCAGATCTTGTTAGGAATATGTTAAATGACTTGGAAGTAGCCATGCCAGGAGCTAGTCAACAAAGAGAAATATTTTTATCTATTATGTTCCATAGGTTAAATAATTTGAACATTTCCTCAGATGTTTATTAATTTCCTTGAATTTTATAACTATGCAAGAAATGGTTAACAGTGAGTTCCACTTGTTTTTGTTACTGGAGAAGCTCAGGTAGAAAGTGAAAAAACACATGTTGCATATGCTTCATGGGAAATACCATCTATACAAAGGAAGTTGAAGCCTATATTGAATGATTCATCGTAGCTATGCCTGGGGTTGTATGTGAGACACACCAGGTGTAAGGGAGGACACAATATAGTCTAAGCAAGTATCTTAAAAACAAATCCAACATACACATAACTTATGTTGTTGATGATGCTATTGGGTGCCATCAAGTTGATTTTCAATCTATATTGACCGTAGTGGCATATTAGAATGGCCTCAGAATGACTTTAAATCAATAAAACAAGAGGTCAGATATATCGCGTTGAGGACTAAAATAGGCCTCGGTATTTTAAGTGACCTCATATGCAAATAAAAGCTGGTCAATGAACAGAGAAGATGGAAGAATTGGCATATTGAACGAAAATATCAAAAGTATTATGAATTGTCAGAAAAGCATGTGCATCTGTCTTTGAAGAAGTACAGTGAATGCTCCTTGGAAACTACGATGGCCTGACTTGGTCTCATGTACTTTGGTTATGATCTCAGGAGAGCCCAGTATCAGAAAAAGGACACCCTGCTTGGTTCAATAGAATGACAGAAAAGAGATTAGAGAAGTAAGACACTCATCGAGATGGATTGTAACGGGAACAAATATAACACCAATGTGAAAATGCCTCAAGATTGGGCAGTGTGTACATAGTGTTGCTTTGGGTAAGAATCCACTAGATGACACATAATAACAATAGAGATAATAATACAACCCAGAGAAGTTGAAAAGAGTTTGATGAGGTAAAGATAAAAGGAAATGACAATTAACTTAACCTTAATGTATCTCTCTGAGTAGAAATAATGTTGGATGGTTTCATCTAATGACATGCACACAGTGAACAGAGATTTTGCTTTAAATAACTTTTATATCCCAAAGAAGACACGCACAACTCACCTCTTCCTCATTTCTGAATAGAAAATAACTAGCACTTTCCTTCCCAGGACAGCCCACAGAAGGATCTCTAGAGACATAACTAGATGGAACCATATTCATATATCTTTACTGAAATTTAATAACAAGAGTTTTCATTTTAATTTGGTAGAATAATGAAACTTATTGGGAAAAAACTATGTATTAACTATAATTAGAACTATATTTTTGTCCCATAGAAATCTCATATTATTATTATTTTTACCACAATATAATTTTTTAACCAAAATTTTAAATTTTACTATAATTAAGCTCCCCAAATTATCTGTTTACTTCTTTAAATGGGTATATATTAGTATTCTCAACAAAATAAACTTTGAAAGCTGTTCTTTAAACTGGATAAAAAAATCAAACAATTGGAATTAATTTTCTGTTTAAAAGATTTGCTAATATGAACCCAAATAATAGCTTAATCTAATTTTATTTGTCTGCTAACTACAGAGTACATAATCAGCTATTTATTTTATATATGGACAAGAAACCTTGGGGTTTAGATAAGTAAAAATAATATAGAATAGTTATTTGACAAAGGTAAAAATACCAATGATTTATCATCATCTTCGGAAGTAGTCTTCTTAAAATTTCCATTACTTTTAGAAATAAATACTAACATTTTTGTTTTTGTTTTTAGCACCATGATGTAATTTCATTTCATGTGGTCACTGGCCTTTAGGTTGTTTAGTAAATATAATCCAGTATTTTTGCAGCTTATATATTCATTATCACATTCCTTTAAAAAATTATTATCAACTATAATTCATTAAGGACAAACCTTAATTTTTGGCTTCTGAAAAATTTACAAAATATAGAGAAGGAAAGCATTCCTAAGCAACAACATAAATAGTTATAGATTTAACAATGCAAAAAATGGTCACATTCATTTAGCAGGGCCATTCTGAATATTCTTGATAAGTTCTGTGGCAAGAATACTAAACTAAATGCCTTACCCATATATCATATAAATCTAACCAAACCAATATTATTTAAATTTTTCCACCAACTTCATTAATGACATTATTAATGTATCCTGCGGACTGTGAAGCAGTCATAACCTACTGGCTAGATATCTAAGATCAACAAATGATTCACTACTAAGATTTAAAGTTTTGAGCTATCCTTATATCAGGTAATAATTTGTCTTTTAGTGATATTTCTGCATGACATTCTTGTAATGTAGTTGTCAGAATTGCTTTATTTAGGAAGGGTAAATAAAAGATCAATGGGATACACCTTGTCTTCTTTTGGAATTAAAAACAAAAACTCTGTAAGTTAAGTATCTTACATGTAACCAGATGTAATCATACCAAGGACAATGTGGTTTTTAAGATTAGTTGCCATCAAATATTTTCCAACTCATGGTGACCCTAAGTGTGCAGAGTAACAAATGGTTACACGGGTTTCTGAGAGTCTGACCTTTCAGAAGCACAGGTCAAGGCCTAGCTTTTCCGGCTCAAGTAGGTGGGTTTGAACTGCCATCCTTTCAGCTAGTAGTTGTATATTTAACATTTTTACCACCTATGCAGTTCAAAGAAAAGTGTAGCGCTCCTAAGCTGATGAAGATGTTTTACTGTAAATATTACAGATTCTACAGCTAGTCTTGTCAATTTGTCTCACATGCTGACATCCGTGGTGCTGAAGATTTGCCATAAGGATTTCAAATACCACTAATGTCACTCCTGGTGAACAAGTCTCATTGGAGCTTCCAGATTATGACAGACTAGGAAGGAGAAAGAGGTGGTCCATTAAAAAAAATCTTATAAATAGCAGTGGCGCGTAGTCTGATACCATGCAAGCAGGTGAGCCCCTCAAGTTGGAAGACACACAACACACAATGGGGAAGAGTAGCTTCTGCCAAGCAGACTTGACCTTACTGACACGGAGGGACCAGCGTTTTCAGAGCCTACATTTGCTGATGTGTCCTGACTCAAAGGAGATGAAGAAACAGCTGCAAACATCCATTAGTAATCAGAAAATAATATGAAAGTGAAAAAATAAATGAGATTATCAAAATGAAATAGAATGGATAAAGATTGGTAACCCAGGTATTAGTGAGCTGAAATGGTCTTGAATTGAGTGATCATATGATTTACTGTGCTAGAAATGACAAATTGAAGAGGAATGGTGTCACATTCCGTCTTCTTTTTAAAAAACCATTTTATTGAGGGCTCTTACAGCTCTTACAACAATCCATACCTCAATTGTATGAAGCACATTTGTACATTTGTTGCCATCATCCTTTTCAAAACATTTTCTTTCTACATCAGCCCTTGGTATCAGCTCCTCATTTTCTTCCTTCCTCCTCCACCCTCCCACCCTCCCACCTCGTAAACCCTGGCTAATTCATAAGTTATTATTCTTTTCATATCTTACACTAACTGCT